ATCCAGTTTATTGAAATTGTCTTTGAGATAAAGTAATCCGTTTATAATGATTTTGAAAACGTTATCCAAAGAGTAATTGCGTTCAAAGAATACAACAGCCAATATAATATAAATCCTTGTATTAGAAACCGGTTTGTCTTGCTTTGTTTCATTTGTAGGATATTTCATATGCCAAGCTGTGTGCTATTACGTTATGGGGAAATTTAGATGCCAATTTTTCCTTATTGTACACAAATAGAAGATCCTGAAACTTCACCCATAAATGTGGAATTGATTTGTCAAAATAAAAATCATCCTTTTATAAATGTGTGACGATCTATAATATACTTATGCTATATAACAGTTAGAGGTGTTGACACAACAACATCGGGCCTTTTATACTAAACGGTGAGCAACACCAGAAACGAGCGTTCGATTTGCTAAACGATATGCGTCACCCTTTAACGAGATTTCAAAGCTATATGGAAAAAGGACCATTGTCTGAAGTTGTTTGCGATAACCTACATGCTCCTTTATAACATTATTATGTAAATACTATCAAATGCTTTAGTCATGACAGTTGAAGTAAACTGAAGTCTTGGTATTTAAATGTAGAATCAGATCTATGTAGAGTAAACAAAATTGAAAGCAACATGTACAGTTGACAGTACAGTGTGATGCAACATCGGTGGGAAAGTCATCTTTGGTTAATAAAAAAGATTCTTAGCTACTTTTCTAACATCTGGCTGTGATGCATCATGGCTTAATGAGGACTGCTATATGGTCAGATGATGAGAAGTAACAGTTTTACGGAACTTTTGCCATGTTTTGCACATTGTAAATGACCCTTCTGAATGGGTTGTAAAGGTATATACCAGGAGGTATATATGGCTCAAATGACTCGTGCCCTAGTACATGGGGCACTGTAGTACATTACTTGCGCACGATGACCACCATAGTCTAGTTGCTCAAATGAGATCAATTGATGATTATAATGTTTAGACTTTATGTCAATGTCCTCTCTAGTATGTGATTACACTAGATTTCATTATGATACATGTACTAAATTGAAAACTTACATATAGAATATCTTAAGTCCTATATTCTAGTAATAAATGAATTAGAATGTCACCTAACATTTGATGATGGTATGAATTTATTGATTTGGTGTCTATCAATACATGTTTCTAACTTAATGCTGCAAAATGATTAAATTCACCACATCCACTTTCTTCAATTTTCCAGGGGTAGGGCACTATAAAGTCATATTAAAATTACAAAATAGTACTTCATAACTAAAATAGATGTATTACAATACCCCATATAGCCTGGAAATGTTTTTAGAATACTACTATGAGCTGTTAAAGCTGTCATATTTTGCTTGAAGCTACAAATATAAAATTGGCAAGACAAAAATTGCGTATCTTTTTCCTGTTTATTGTATTTTTTCTGAGACCAATAAGGGTATCACCCTATAACTTTAGGATAGTATTCATATTTGTACTAGCAATGTATGGTGTACAACTCAGAACAATAGCTCATATATCCTTTGAGTTATGAACTAGTTTCATAGTACCCCCTAGAATATTTTCCTAGGGGGGTAAACATGCCAAAATTCAGTGTCGTGACCACCCCGTTGAGCTGTCATCTTTTAATATCTTTATCAGCATGAAAAACTGATCGAGTAAAAATAGGTCTGTTACTTTTTCTAAAAAATGCCTCAAAAACTTGAATTATTAGAATTGGAACCTGTCTATATATAGAAACATTCCTGAAGATTTCAGATGAATCCACGAAAAGGTTTGCCTGGAAACCTGTAGACAAGTATCGAAAGACAAGATTTAAGAACATTTCGAAACATACCTACCTACTCATATATTAGGATAATGTCTTCCAAAACAAATACATTTACTAATGAGCCAGTGTAATCCACGATTCTATTTGTACAGCTTTGAGTACTGATGCTAACAACAAAATAAGTGGGTAAGTAAGAATTTCATGACATCCTTACATGAACACATTCATGTACAACTCAGATATTGATTATATTAGATATTATTATCCCGGTTGGAAGAAAAGGATGACACTATAAATGGATGACACTCCAAAAGGGTGACACTAGATAGATTCCATTCACATTGTATATGCTGAAGCCTACATAGGGACGCAGGAGCTCTGCTGGAAAAGAAATATGGCAGCTGAATTTTAAAAGGGCTGCCATTTTTCATAGAGAAAAGCAATCCTTGATTATTTAATACAATGGCCACCATTTTTCATAAAAGAATGTTATACTTGATTACTTAATACCAGTTAGCTGATTTGGTTCAAATTTTATACCCTCTGTAAATAAAAAGGGTGCATGGTCCTTTATCAGTCATATCATTATTAATATTTTGTATAATCATACTAAACTCTATATTGTATACACATTGTGAATAACTGGTGAAAATCTGGTGAATAATCTGGTGAAAATTAAATGAAATTTAAAAAAAGTTAGAAATGATTTAAAACATTGTCTCACAAACTCACTAATGTGCCTTTTTCCTCTAAATTACGTCATAAATTACAATTTGCAATTATATGTAGTGTTTTACATTTCTTCTATGACTGGGTCTTCATTTTCTATATGTAAAATGCTTCATACCATTGTAAAGCCTGTCTCAAAACACGATTTTCAGACGATTTTACCACTTAAATAGTAGTAAAATTAACGGTAGAATATAACCATTTTGCTCAATAAACACATTTGTATATTCACATCTGACATCTGGTATGCATATGCTAAGTTTAAGAAGTATAACATATTTATGGGTGTTTGTGAAAGGCAAGGGGTTTAAATCATCTTATAATTTCAAGTTTATTGATATATATGTTACCCACACCCCTAATTTTGAACAGAGGAGGGACTTCTGAATTTAAAGGATATTGTTACGCGGTATATGGCATACATTCATGGTTGCGCGGTATTTGTGATACGGGTGAATATGCCATACTCACCTGCAGTATATGGCATATTCTGCAGGTGAGTATGTGCTATTCCTCAGTGAATATGCGATACATTGATTTCAGTGAATACCCGATACTCACCTGCGGAATATTTCATACTCATTTGCGGAATATGCCATGTACGGCAGGTGAATATGACATATACCGCAGGTGAAAACGTGATACAGAAAGCCTTGATTTGATCGGTTGCGAGAATCGACTGAAATGTAAAACTACGCTGGATTACCAATATCGTTAGTGCGTCGAGTACTAATATATGAATCCTGGATTGATTAAGTTTATTATGCGAGATTGGTGACTGATACTTCTGCTAAGTTAATATATTCGATACACAGTACTGTTGATTCAGTAATTATTATAATGATTTATAACGTTTTACTTGTTCGTTCAATCGATGCAATTGACAATTGCGTACTTCCGTATCACGTTCTCATTGGTTAGTGTGTATGCCATATACCGCAGGTGAATCTGTCATACACCGCAAGTGAATATGCCATATTCGTTGCGGAATATGACATATTTTTGTATCGTGTTTACCGCGTAACAGATATTACCTCAAATGCTATCACAAAGTGGTTGTAATTAATCAAACTGTCATTCTAGGAACTGATTTTTTTGTAAAGTTTTACTGGATTGAAAACTTTTTAAAATGGTGCATTGCTCTAAACTAAACTGAAAATTTGAATTTATGTCTCACAAGATCTTCTTATTGAATTCATTGCTTGATATTTTATTTCTCATATTTACATATGACGACAATTTAAAGAAAAAAGTCACACTCACGATTTGTGAGTTGTTCTATTCGATCCATTCTAACTTTTTACCATATTTCCAAAATCCTTCGAAGTTTCCTCCATTTGGCCCACGTATGCATAAATTGCACATCTGATTGTTTAGTATGATAATATAGAAAATAAAAAATATATGACTGATAAAGGACCATGCACCTTTTTTCTTTACAGAGGGTATACTGATGCTGAGGACAAAGGACCTCTGCTCAAGAAAATTTTGTTTAAGATGGCAGCTGAATTTCAAAATGGCTTTTGATTATGACAGTTTGGGATTCCTTAGACTTGTAGCTATTTTTTGCATTAACTACCATGGTAGATCGTTGAATTTCTCAAATTACAATATGCATTCATAATAACAACTGTACAATGATGATAGTCTTTCTCAACTCAAGCCCTAATGTATCCTAGTTCCTATAATGGTTCCTCTTGCTTTATTCTTATCCTAAGTGACATCTATACATATTCATGTGAACAAGCCAATCAGTATATTGAGCGATTTTGACCAGTGCAGACGTGCAATTGACAGAGCTACTCAAACATATAACTTAGTGTTGCTGTAAATTTTGCAAGTACGCTACTTTATATCGTTTATGCCTTCACGTTAGGAGCATTAGTTGTGACTTCAGTTTTTTGCCTACTGCCATTGGGAATCTGATGTACGAAAGTTTTAGGTGATATTGAGTGATTTTAGTCACATCATGTGATACAGTCTAGGGGGTGTATTGCCCATGTTTAGCTGCATGAAAGCAGACAGGGGGTGTATTGCCCATTTTGCCATAGTTTAGCTGCATGAGAAGCAGCCAGGGAGTGTACTACCCATTTTGCCATAGTTTAGCTGCGTGAGAAGCAGCCAGGGGTGTATTACCCAATTATCAGGGGGTGTATTGCCCATTATTTGTATTAATGCATTTTGAGATGCAGTCAGGGGGTGTATTACCCATTGCTCATATTTGAAGGGGGTTTTTACCCATAGCATGGAATTGACTTTTGGTAAAAGGTATGGAGATAGTTGAGATATATTGAATACTGTGATTATTACATACATGGAAGTATGGATTACATGGCAATAACTTGCAACAGTAATTTGAAAGTGAATGCTGAACTAATAGGATTAACTTCATATGAATTGTACGCTTTGAGTGTATTGAATTAATGTGTATTGAATGACCTTTGAATTATCTTACCTACTATAAGGAAGTGTTCTTATTGGTTGGAATAAACAATTATGTTTTCACATGATTGAGTGAGTTTTGTGAGTGGGTGTTCTATGATTGCTATTTCAGTGTACCTAGGAAATACGTGCGTGCGTGCAACAATTCTGACAACGGAGACGCATGTGGAATACTTGACGTAAGTACATGTACGAATTGAGTTACTTGAGAATTGAATGATAAATTAACCTTAAAATAATCACCACAGGAACACACATATCTAGTCACAAATTCAATTATGGGGAAATACTGAATTGAATAGCCTTACTGAGTTACATGTTGTTCAAAATTTTTCTTTGACTTGTCTCATCTGGCAAACGGTGTTGTAACAGTCTGGAAATTCTGTGCGTATCACTGTTGAAAATTGAAATAAATATTAGGGATGCTTCGGACGTAAGTTAGTTCATAGGTTGAGATAGTGGAGAGGTTAAGCTAACGATGTTTTTCACAACGTAACCGTGAACGCAAAGTACAAAAATTAACAAAGGAATGTATCGAGCGCTCATAGTTTTATGCGCGCTTAGTCTACTTCAGATACTCTTTCAGCTTCAGAGTTTCGGGTTTAGAACGGGAGATTTGAATATTTGACGTTGGGTCAACGGGAACCATTTTACTCGTGTCTATTGAACACTATGCTGTCAATTTTGATTTCGATGCACAGTTGAATTCTTGCTGAACACGATGATATATGTCATGCATGATTTAGCGCCAAAAATCTTACGAAACGAGCTCGTTTAAAATATGTATTAGAAAACCAGCTATAAAACCGCATCAATGACATACTATAGAATCATTACACGCTATGGTGTAGTCTAAACAAACACTGGATTTGAACGGCTATTTATATGAGAAGGCTACATGAATTTGTATATGGTCGAGTGATACGTACAGGTTCAGTTTCGATTATATATGCAAAGCTTAACCTCTCCAGTATGCTAGCTGATACGTGATGGAATTTACACATTCTGATTTATCAGAGTCCCTCTTTACCTAACGTTTTTGTCTGAACTATTCCAAAAGGATAGTAAAGGCTGTGGATCCCACAATGGAATTTACACGATATCATAATCAAACATTTAGTCGTTCGAAATTGTTTATGACTAGGCCTACAGTATAATACGTACGTCTCTGTGGCCGGGGTAGAAAATGACACATTTGAATGTGGAATTCTTTTTGATATAGGTTATACAAATTTTATGGCATGTGTATCTTGACAATATTTGAAACTATGGTTTTCAAACCACCATGGTTGGAAGTGGTGATAAAAATCCACTACTCAATTAATTATTATCAAGACTATAGGTCAAAATATGTAGAATAGTATCGAACTTACTTTCAGAGTGGTATAATCTAATAATGGCACTAACATTACTACAGAAAAGACACAGAGTCCATCCAGAACTCATATACAAACTGGTCATGAGGGTACAGGGATTGGAAAAACTTGACTCCGAGGTGGGATTTTCCAAGAAGGAACTCATTAAGGATATGGATGCAGGCAAGATCACGGGTAAGTTTTTCTTCGCATAAGTTCCGGAATTTGTGGGGTGAACAGTTTCATGATCAAGTTGTTGTCAAATCCAGGGTGTCAAATTTAAGTTTGACTTGTACACTTTTAAAATATATAACAGTCGATAGATGTCAGGTGTGTAGAGTCATTTTCAGTTCACCGTCAAGTTAAGTTGGTAATTTAGACACGATTGGTGAGAAAATGGAGAAAATAAGTTCGCAAATCTTCAGTTTATTTTACAAGTTTGCAACCAGTTTTAATAAAATATTTCAAAGAGTATATTTTAAGATATCTAATGTTCTTCATTCAAGAGGTAAGCTACTTTTTAATGCAGATTAGACTAGTTATTTTATGGGAACTATGACTTGTGTCTACAAAATTTTCATTTTGGGAACTAAGCTTGAGAGTGAGAGTTAGGGTCAATACCGTACGGAATACGTCTATTTCCAAACCAGTCAATACTCCTAATACCATTGCGGTATTCCCGCAACCGTAGCAGTTGCGCTCATGCCGCAATATTAATGTCAAATTCAGTGCTAATATTATTTATTAAATTTGAGTATTTAAAAATTATATTTTGGGTTCACTATTAATTTAAATAGAATAGTATGACGAATCATCACAGATTGGAGTTATATGATAGACTTTTAGATAATAATGCTTGCGTATCGTATTCACTCCGTATTCTTTAAAAATGGCGCGCTGCACGCGTTTTCAAGAGGATTTCTTGAATAAATGGCTAAATATTATATCATTGGGAAACCTTGCTGCATTCTATCTTGTAAAGGAGAGATCATTAGTTCCACGTTCAAACATAGCATAGCAACAACAATCTATCTAGTCTACAAAAATGCCGAAAAGTCGTTCCAGGTAAGAAGTAGAAATTATTTTTCGAATTATTTTCCATTCCAGCCATTCCCAAAACATAAGATATGGGAGTATTTAATAATAATACAGGGGCTTGAATGGGGTATCGAACAATGACCTCGTGTGTTCCTAGACCCTCCCTTATCTTCAATACAAGCCCAGTGTGAGGGAGATGCAATATTCTCTGAGAGGAATTGCACCTTTCTCTTTAGGAGGACAGTGTGGGTAGCCTTCAATTGTACCATTTCAATAAAGATTTCGTATTGGGGCATGTTAACCGAAAAAATCATAGTAAAGGGGAGATCCGTCGAACTTCGACCATGGGTTTACTTCGTGATGGGCACAGATATTGGCCAGATCGTTTTGTAGTAGGATCTCATAGGCTCAAAGAATAATTATTGAGCTACTGATCCTACTACAAAAGAATCTGGCCGAGATCTATGGTCATGGGGCTATTTCGACCATGGGGTTATTTCGACATTGGCTTATATTTTCGATTCACGAAGTCGCCATGTTTGTTTTTTGAATTTTTTTAAAAATAAATTGAAATCTCCAGCAGGCATGATCTTGAGGTGCCATGGTCCTGACAGGAAATGCCAAAACAGGAAGTGACAAAACCATACTGAATTTTGAAGATTTTTTGAACCAATATAACAGCACAGGGGTTTGTATGGAAGATCAGGCAGAGCCCTCGTATGTCTCAAGTCCTAATCTTCCTGTGGATAACAAAGTTCTGTTTTGACCTCCAGTCAGTTTGACTAGTGCCAAATATCATTTACATGACCAGGATCACAATGTACATGGTCAGAATGACCCTAAACATGATGAAATAATTTTTTCAGCCCTCTGACCATGTACATTGTGATCCTGGTCATGTAAATGATATGTTGAACTAGTCAAACTGACTGGAGGTCAAAACAGAATTTCTGTTACTGTAGATTGGGTTAATTTGGCGCTACTTAATTTGACGATTTTGCCATTTTTGGCATATTGGCGGCTATTTAATTTGGCGGATATGCAAAAAATTGGGCATGTTTGGCTATGTTCATTTTTTCTTTTGAGGACCACTGGCGATATTCACCATGTTTGTACATTTTTGTGAGATCAACCTTTACATTTTGCACTTCGATCGATGTTGCTACTATACCGCGCTTTTCCTTTCTAGTTTTTCCCTGAGTATTAATGGGTGACTGACCAGTTCTGAGCCAATTTATGAGACTTTTTTTCATATTTCTGGAAGTGACCTAAATACACTGGACAAAATACCCTAGATAATTCCCGGGGATTCATTCTAAATTTTGGCGAAGATTTATATTGGCGAATTTTACAATTTCCCCAAATTCGCCAAATTAAAGCGGGCACCAAATTAACCAAATCTACAGTATCTTACTAATGGTTCAAAAAATATTTAAAATCCAGTGGAAATTTATACTGAACATTGATGCCTATAAGCCTCCCATTATTATAAATCTGTCCGTAATTAAAAGTTAAAGATGAATGTTTGTATTCCAGAATCAAGCGTGGCGTGAAGTATGATGATAAGCATGAGCATGAAATCGGCACCTTATCACAGCGAAGGCTTGTTGCTGATGCATATTGGAGGACTCAAAAAACTGGAGACACAGTGAATTTTTGGACATGGTATATCAAAGACAATGGGCCCTTTACGATTGAAAACTTTAAGAAAGTTGCCTCTAAAGACCTTGACCTTGACTGTGTGGATGAAGATGGCCAGCCATTATATCTTTCAATATCGAGAATTCAGCCAGAACCACTCTTTGATATTATTTGGAATAGTAGCAATCCTGCTTGGGTTCCAAGACAACCAACAAACAAACCACAGTCAAAGATAGATATTCTTAAGGTATGTTAAGTGATTTAAGTACCCATTCTATTATGATTGATGGAAATATGAAGATAAAAAGGCTGAGCATGTAATTAGTGTGTGGGTTTTAAAGCAGTCTTGCATGTGACATATTTTTATGGTCACCAATTTTTTTTGTGTTTGGTGTTCAGTGGTTGGTGTTCGGCAGTTGCTGTCTGTAACAAATGACAGGTGGTGACAGTTTGCATGTTAATGCCTTGTCTATGATTATTGCCAAAACTCAAAAACCAATGGACTGTTTTATTTTTTTTCATATGTGATGATATGTGAATACTTGATGGCATAAAAATGTATAAGTTAGGAATGTTAACACATCACATATCTTACAACAGATATCCTGTTATTCATTATATTGTTTTTCATCCTGATTGTTTCTATGATTTGTTTTTTATTATTTTTTTTATTAGGGGAGAAAGAAAATCATATTTTGGATCTGAACTGTTCACCCCAGATGAAGAAGTCGACCAGTATGTCATCTTAAAAAGATCAGCAGTGATCTTACCCCTGTAAGTAAATTTAATAACAAAAGACATTGGGCCTTAAAAAGTAGATTCTCTGTTAAATATCAGAGAATTCATTTCATGGCCTATTAAAGTAGAAAAATTCATTCTAATACCATAAATATGAAAGCAATTGACATGTATTCATACCTTTATTATCCAAGCTAACAAAGTTTGGTTGGGATAAAGTGAAACCCTCCATCCATCCAATATGAAAGTGTGACAAAATCTTGCCACGATTATCTGGGCAAATTATTGACTTATGTAAGAGATATATATGCACAATGGATAAAACTATATTTATTGAAAAATATGAAATGTTTCATTCAGTTGTGTTCAAAATAAGTGCTATATTCTTTTTGTAGAACTCAGAAGTTGATGTTTGTGGACAAAGCCACTGGAAAGCTGCTAAAGAGAGCTCGCATAGGATGGCACGTCTTGACCAAACTGGTGTATTTGGCTCTACATGCAGACATGTTATACCTCCTAAACTTCTAAACATGTTCCAAGGGGAGATATTCGCTTATGCACACTGTATGCACTCCTATGGCCAAAGGCCATTCTTCTACATGCCAGGTAAGAAAAAGTATTTAACTACAATATATAGTCTTATATATTCTTGGTATATAAGTGTTCCTTTTTTGAATACTGAGAATACCTTTTTATTATTAGCTTCAATGATATGGAATATACAGCAAAGCATAACATATACAGTACAAAAACTATATTAAATGAAAAAGAAAATTCCTGGTACAACGTTTTTTGTTTTTGTTTGGTGTATAGGACGCCATCTTGAGTTTTAAGAAAACCAGAAATTCTTAAAAGATGTACACTCAGTATCTTGATTGAGAAGTGCATAAAAAACAAATACTGGATGATCAGGAGCTGGAGGTGGGCAAAATTCCTATCGGCAGTATGTATTTTGCTATATCAAGCTCCTGATCATCCAGTTACAAAACTGAACATATGTATTTTCAGATAATGTGGGTGGTGATTGGAAGAAGGGTGCTTGGACAACATCCAATGCTTGCAAGCCCTCCAAATACATGGGTTGTGCTAGTGAGTAAAATTGTTAACTATATTCAAACAGTTGAAGTCAATAACTAAGTAATAGTAAATTATACATTTTCAAACAAATTATCAATAAAGAATGCCTCCATACCGTTTGTCGGTATAGTCAGAAGAAAACATAAAACAAATGATTTACACATTTTTTTGCCTCACTTTTATAGGAAGAGAGGAGGTGATCACACGTCTCGTTTCATTTTGGGGAACGAAGAAAGTGAAGTCGCTCCTGGAGTATTTAACTCGAAGATATAGGAAGGTATCTTTATATAAATTGATCCAGATGTAACTTCAAAGGTTTTGTCAATTCAATTCTACTTGACAGTCATCTTGAAACTTAAAACAGATTTTCCACAAAAATTTCTTAGTTAACAATGTGATTCGTTTCATGGTTACCATGGTAACCCATCGTGATGTCATATGGGGTAAATAAAACTCTCTTGACTTGATAAGCTGAATAAATTAGAATAATCTTTCAAAATCAACCAATCAAAAATAGACTATATATTTTGTATACACTTAGTTTTGTTTGAGATTCAGTATGGAAATGCAATATCTTTGAAGTTACATCAGGATCACCCTGTACATGGAATATGTTTGAAACAGAAAGAACTGCACATTATCAACTACAGTAAAACCTGTGTATATTGAACATTTTTTTACTGAGAAAACGTTCAGGGTTTGTAGCTGTTCACTCCAGAGAGAATAATTTCTACAAAAGTCAGTAGAGTATGTGGGGAGAGGAAGGGTGTTAACTAGATACAGGTGTTCACTTGAGAGATGTGTCCACTCAGATGGGTTTTACTTTACATTGTAATAATTTGAGCTAGAGTTCAGAGTTCCCTGTGTTAATCCTTTATTTGTCATATTTTTCAAATGTATAGAAAACCAGGAATAGATGTACAGGGACTTCATTAGCAGCAGGCAACAAGCGATTTTCAGCAGTTGTTTTCATATAATCGCCCATTGTTTTGAGGGACTTTTCAACTTTTCCATGTTGAATTTATGATTATCCCAACGAACGAAGTTCGTTAGGGATATAGTGAAGCCCTCCGTCCGTCTGTCCGTCAGTCAGTCAGTCAGTCCGTCCGTCTGTCCGGAAGATAACTCAAATACTAGTTGACAGATTTTCTTCATATTTAGTCGAAAGATGTATATTGGTGAATAGTTTTACGCAAAAAAAAATTTTTCAAGATGGCCGCCGCTTTAAAAATGACGGGACTTTTTCGCAAAAATCATAAATTTTTCATTCTAAACCAAAGTAATTAATATTATTGTTTGAAATTTTGGTAGTGTATTTACAACATTTATCTATTTCACATATATTCTGTGTTTTTCATCCTGACCCCCAGGGGCCATGTATGGGGGGACAGGAAAACAGAAATTTTTGCTAATTTTTAGATCTTTCTGAAGTATAGCTTTATTATACTCAAATGAAAAGCAATTAAGAGTAGATTGCAAATATTGTATCTTTTTTCTGATTCGAGCCTCGTAAAATTCAAAATGGCCGTCTAATGTACGATTTCGCAATAATTTTTCGATCTCTTAAAAGTATGGCTATATTATACTCAAATTGAAGGAATTTTGGAGTAGATCACAATTATGGTATTATTTTTCAGATTTGTACCTCAGAAAATTCAAAATGGCTGCTTTGCAGGAATTCGCAATTCTAAAATCTAATTTTTTCATTTTCAACCAAAGTAATGAGTATAATTGATTGGAATTCGGTAATTGATATTTTGTTCGTTGGGATTTGCTACTCCGCGGAGTTGCCGTTATCTAGTTTCCATTAATATTGCCTGCTGTTTTCATTTACTTAGTCTGCTGTGAAAAATTCTAGTGGAAACCCTGGATGTATATGCAGGAAACAATCCTTTGCTAGCAATTTTTGGCCTGTATGTCAAAACTTTTTATTTCAAATAGGTGAGAAAATGGTTGCTGAGGCTGAAGAAGACCTTGCCAAGTACAAGGAATATGACCTCATTGAAATGAAGCAAGATATACTTGATCATGTTCAAGGTAGGATATATCATGTGATGACCTAACAACATCACTGGGGAGTATCGTGATGCAACAACACCGTGTTGTTGCATCAAGATGGCCAGACTTCCGGTGATAGATTTTCGTACGATATTTTGTTTCCCCAATTAAACCCATTTCTTGGACGAGTTGCTCAATAACCATACACGTGCAGTTAGCGCACGATCTATATTTAAAGAAACTGTCATTAGTATACATGTACCATCACCAAGAAGCAATAAGTTCACGGTTTTAGTTCCTCACTATTGATGCAACAACACCAAACCGAAGATGCAACAACACTCCTCTAGATTTGAGCAATGATGCAGCAACACCAATTAATAGTATAATTTCAGAAGACCATAAATCTAGAGAGGAACAGATTTTTAATGCTACTATTGCAACACCGTTACCCATTACCCATATTTACGTTCTCCTCAAGGCATTCAAAATACACATCCTGCGGGCGAAGATCCTTATATGTATTTTCAAAAATTTATACTTTTAAATATTATAATGTACTGGACGTTGTTCTATAACATAGTTCAATCGCCTTTAACAAGGCAAGCTTTAGTAACCCAATCTATTTTCATAAACCACTGTTCCATAGCTTGATGACCCTGACTCCAGTTAGTATCATTCAAAATGGTGGACAAACATCTTTCGTCCTCGGTAAACATGATGAGCTATTGGAAATTATCTGTCATCCATCTGTGGAACAGTGATAAACTAGTAGATGTACGTTACCACTGTTTATCAAATTATAACTAAAACAGTTTAACTGTGACATTCGTGAGCTTATGTTGATGGGATGATTGCTTCATCTATGATATGATTTTTTATTTCCTCCAATTTGGAGAGCCAACGTGTAAAGACATCTAATTGACTTTATTAGAGAGGCCGTTTAGTTACACGTTTAATGGAAATCTTGCACGACGCACATGTAGAATTATTGCTCTCTTTGGATTCCTTCTCTCCGACTGAGTAAAAAGGTAAACAAGATAAGATAAGATTAAGGGCCCAAAAAGGTAAATTGATAGGGGTACAGTTATCCCGGGCCCTCGGGAAATATCATATTGTCTCTCGGAATAAAACCAATATTGAATCCCTCTCAGAAAATAACCTTTATATAATAGCATTGTATAACTACAATATCATTAAACCAATAGTCCAATACTCATCCTATACAACTCTTGAGAACGATGTACAACTCCTGGATAGCGTAAACTCATGAGCAGCGTATACAACTCTTCAACTTGATATATGACATCATACTTTGGGTGGGATAACAAAGGATATACAATATACAATTGTAGACCTGTATTGAGGTCAACTGGCAAAATTGTATACCGATACTGTAATCCTTGAAAGTTCGGAGGTCGAGGTCAACAGTACTCTCAGGGTTTACTGTTGAGGTATACACTTTTGCCAGTTGACTGAAAAGAGAGGTTAACAATTGTTCATTTAGTCCAAATAATATAATAATTGGACGAATATATAATCGAATATCACGTGAACATATTTGATAAGTAAAGGTATCATATTTTAGCAAAAAATCCCCAAACCGTCGAATACTTGTAATTTTTTACACAACTTATTTTTTCAAAATTAAAAAAATTTCAACATTAAAAAAACAATCTTTCAAAAATAGGGTCAACTGTACCTTGTAGTGGTCAACAGTTTACAATTGTTGACCTCCCCAGAGGTCAACCGGCAAAACTGTATACCGAGACTGTAAACCGAAAAACTCCTGTTGACAGAGACCGAAGGTCGAGGTCAACAGTAGTTTCAAGGTTTACAGTAGAGGTATATGATTTTGACGGTTGATCGAATGGAGAGGTCTACAATTGTTTTGTTAGTCCGAGTAAACTAATAATACACATATAGACGACAATCATCAATCGGTAAATCCAAGGGCATTTAATTTAGAAAATGTATAATCTTTATTTTTCAGATACGATATCAATGAGATTGCCTCCCGGGGATTCTGTACTTTATTTTGTTTGCCTTGTATATATCCTTTTAACTTTGATATACAGTAGACAAAGAAACCAAACAAAATACGTTTCGTTCATGGACCACTGACTCACGCGTTTTATTCATGTCCCGACACACACCTGTAAACAGAACATAAAACAGTTTCTCTTGTTGTTCAATGATACATTATATTGGCGTTTTTGCATCAGCACATTGGTGTTGTTGCATCATCGATAAGAAACAGAGTGGTGTTGTTGCATCAATAGTGAGGAATTAAAACCACAAATTTATCGCTTCTTGATGATGCTACATGTATACCAATGACAGTTTTTTAAAATATAGATCATGCGCTAACTGCATGTGTATGATTATTGAGCAACTCGTCCTAGAAATGGGTGTAAATTGGGAAAACAAAACATCGTACGAAAATCTATCACCGGAAGTCTGGCCATCTTGATGCAACAACACGGTGTTGTTGCATCACGATACCCCCCAGTGAACATGCTCCATTGTTGGTCGAATTTTTTTGTTGTTGCAGTTGTCATTTTCAAATTAAGATTACATAATACTCTATTAGATCTCAAACATTCTAATGTCTATCATTTGTGCCTTTGAAACTCCTAAATGGAATATCTGCCAATTTAATAAAGGTTAGAATAGATTTTAAATATTACATTGAGCCATTTACAGATTCATGTATGCAGTGTTCATTGGGATTTGCTACTCCGTGGAGTTGCTGATTTGTAGTTTTATATCATTTTTCACCTTTTCCAGATTCTACAAATAGGAATGGTGTTTCTCCCGAGGTAGAATATTTTCAGCTGAGAAAACAAGAAGATGTTTTCAATGCTTTAAACAATGGACAACCAAGAATAGTTACCGGTAAGCTATCTTATGAATATGTTATTTATTTATATTTATATGATTTGCTTTCCTAGTTATTACAAAGTGAAACATTTGTTCCCTCTGAACAATCACAATAGTATCATTCTAGTATAATGTGATTATGTTTTTTGGAAATAGGTACAGTGGATTTGCATCTAAGCCTTGAAAGTGGGGTGGGGGCTTATTAGGGGATGAGCATTAATACTGCAATAATGGTTAGTTTTAGACATTACAATGTATGATATCCCATCAATACAAGATTAACATATTCAGGAACTTGGTTGTTTGAATTTTTCAGAGACAAGTAAGGAACGCCACAAGCTGAGAAGGGCCAACCAAAAGACAAAGAAAGCAATTGAGAATGCAGTGGAAATATACAACATTGCTGCACAAGATATAGAAAATGAAGTACAAATAAATTCAACCGAAATGGGATGTATTCTGAAAGCTGATTTCCCATGGAGGTCGGACATTACTCTGGGGAAGAAAAGAGACCTTGTTAATAAGAAAGAATCATTTGAAAGACTTAAAGAGGAAGAGGTCCTCCTTAAAAAAGAAATGAAACAATTTCTATTATATTACAAGTCTAAAGATACAAATGGAAATGTAGGAATGGAAATGGATGTAAACAATATCAACGATGCTACATATATGAAAGGATTGGTGGGTTTACCTTTCTTTAATGATGAGGCCTATGCTTGATGAAACAATTGTTGACAACACCTCGGAGAGTGATGATGATTCTGAATTGTCAGACTTGTCAGACATAGAATCAGACCAAGAGGAAAGAATGGGACAAGAAAACAATACACAATTTAATATTGTCTGAACTTTGTTCTATAAAAAGTGATACATCATTAAATGATGAGTCAGTGAAAGGATCATAATATTAATGTAAATTAAAAAGTATCGAAACTTTAATGTCTAAAACTAACTCAAACAATCCAGGTCAAATCTAAGTTTTTGAAGTTTCTCTAAGTTTTCTATAGCCTATACTTCATTATTTCTTGTTGCGTACTGTAGATTGGGTTCATTTGGCGCTACTTCATTTGGCGATTTTGCCACTTTTTTGGCTATTTAATTTGGCGGACACTGGGGCTTGAACATGCTCTGACACCACAACTCCCATATACACTGGAACAAAATATAAATTGTTACACCCATTCCTACAATTCAACTACTATATTTTAAGCAGTTCCCCTGAGCCAATTTAGAAGTGGCATTTTCTTATTATCACTTTTATCCTTTTTAGATTTGTTAAAACTGACTTAAACACACCAAATCAAATTCCCAGAGATCCTTTCTAAATTTTGGCGAAGATGTAAATTGGTGTTTTTGGTCTATTCTGCCAAATCAAAGCAGGCCCAAATTAACCCAAGCATTCATTACAAATTGAGAGGTCAAAAATTGAAAAGGCCAAATCTTGAAATTTTCCAATATCATTCTCCAATATCAACTTCATTTGTATCAATGTAATGGATTTTGTTGAAATTCCATTCACATCCACAGTATTCTATTTATAAAATCTATGTTACTTTCAACCTGTTAATAGGGAGTTTAAGCTTGCATTGTTTTTTTCACAACCTAGAGGTGTATTGAAGTTATTTAAATGATGCATTTGTATGGGTGATGGTCATACATTGAGGTTTGCATTTGGATTTTATATGCAAGCTTAAACTCCCTACTATTTATTTTCAGTGAAGAATAAAACAGTAATAAGTTGAACACCTTCAGTACATCTAAAAAGTGTCCCTCATTGGAGGTTGTACTTATGAAGGTTCATTTAACATTAACTCAATTGGTCTTGGTCAAGTGTTCCACTAGTATAGATGTTCTACTTTTTATTATAGGTGTCCTACTTTACAGATTCCACTGCTACTGTATCATAGAGCATATGAATGACATGCACTAATATAACTGCATGTAAAAAATTTGACATTTTGTTCAATGACACTTTGTTCAATGACACTTTGAATACCTGCTTGAGTTATTTCAAGAGTTCTGGTAATCCAAATTTAGGGTCAAGAAATGATAGCTCTCCCTGTCAGTTATATACAGGGTGAGCCAAAAAAGTAACCATATCAAATCTTAATTACTCAGTCATCCTGCATGGGTTTAGTGTTGTAATCTCTTGTTTCAATGTTGTAAGTGTAAAAAATAGGCCTACAGATAAAAATCTGGTAGGATTTATGTCCAGTCAGTGAGGCACATTTTGGCATTTTGAGTATGTTTTGTAAATGGCCATGAAATTGTGGCTATCAGGGATAAATCAATGACACTTAGTAGAATGAAAGTACATTGAACAAGGTTTAATTGTGCCAAATATGATTTTAAACCCATGCTGAATGACTGAGTTAATAAACATACATTTGGATGGGTTACCTTTTTTGGCTCACCCTGTACCTATAAGGCAACAAATTATTTCACTTGTCTTTTTGGAGTTCATATATTTGGAGAATATATAATTGTTTAAATTATGGTAAACTATGTTCATAATATCCACTTTGAGTAGCCAGCCTGGCAGATTTCTTTTAGGGAATCAATTGAAAATGTGCTGGCATTTCCCGAATAATGTTTCGTATATACTTGATGGGTCATCTTATATCTTATGAATGATGATGAAGTTCCAAAGGTTTTGGGCTCTGCATGTACAAGTATATTATTGGAATAAATGGTTTCGAATTAATTGAACTTTGTAGTTCTGTTTATCTATAATTTAATCTTTATTTCATATTTATCAGCATGTAATGAAGAAAATGTTATAAGGATACCCAAGAAATTCTTCTAGTTTATTGAATGTGGCGTATGCACTTTGAAAGAAGGAAAATCCATGAAAGTATAATAAACCAGATCCCATGAATTACTATGCATTACTATGAGGCTCATTGAGGGGTATTGTGCACAGGGAAGGCTTGGAGAGAAGTATTGTTTAGTTGAGGCTCAGTGAGGACTATTGTGAACATGTATGGCTTGGAGAGAAAGAGAGAAGTATTGTGTCTAGTTGAGGCTTGATGAAGATTGTGTACAGTGCTCACCATAAATAAATGACACCAGGATTTGCTGAAGTGAGGATTTCCCATGTTAAAAGGAAGAGAATTTTCAAGAGACTATATCATCAGTAGATGAAAGTTTACAAAATGTAAAATACAGTAGAACCTCTATATCTGAACACCTGGCTAATCCGAACACCTCCCAATCTGAACACTTTTTTCGGTTCAATTTTTTCCTCCCATTGACGCCCATGTTAAAAAAAACTTATAATGTGAACACCTCCAGCTCCCAATTTGAACAGTGAACAGTCATATTTGAAAAATTCACTTGTCTAATCTGAACACTTTTCATAAAATTTCTGATGTTTCATACAAAATTGCTCAAATATTGTCATGATATCAAAACTTTGGAAAAAATCTAGAATGGTGTCAATTATAATGGGGCTTTCAAGCATGACTAGATACATTTGAATCGAATTTTCAAATTTCAGGAATGCCATTGAAAGCTATGTGGTCAGAAGTACTATAAATATATATCGAGAATGTGTTCACATTTCCTCAGAATCCGGAATATTGCGAATGCAAAAACCTTGAAATGTGAACACCTCCTAATATGAACGCTTTTAGCCGGTCCCAATGGCGTTCGGATTAAACAGGTTTTACTGTATAAAAAAACTTAAGGGATGTGTATCTCGACATTATTGGAAAGTATGAAGTCTCAAATCACCATGGTCTTGAAAAGATGCTTCCTGGGAATCAAAAACACAGCATCATATCATATATGAACACTACCATATAAATATACATATCAGACATTCTATACTTCAGGGGTGTGCACGCCACCATACCTAAATTGGGGACATTATCGATAAATACAGATGGGGTAAAAGTCTTGGAGGACCTACATGAGCGTTTCAGATGATTAATAAATGCGCGAAATTTGAGACGCTCAGAAAAGCATGATATACATTTTCCCTGGAAATTAATATAATAAAAGAACTAGGATCAGCACTTTTAGAGTGTGTTCTCACCATAGGGCTGAGTATCGATTTACCTTTAGACTGTCTAAAATTCAATGATTTCGTATACATGATCAGCAAATATGAAGTTTTTTTTATAAATTTCGTCATGCTTAGCTGAACAAAAGACAAATGTGTAATCCAACAGTTGAAAGTTTCCTAATAATTTCCGTTTTTGTGTTTTTCCATTCATCCTGCCCATTGGTTTGTCTCTCACTTTACTCAGGGAATATACGAAACGGTTGCATATCTTTCCAGATACAAGCATTGTATATTTAAAATGGATTTATTGTGGCGATGCTTTTTAAATATATCTTAAATGGATTTCTTGTCCATTGTCGGAGAGTTATTTGGCCTTATATTGTAGTTAACGGTAACATGTATTACAGTTGTGTTACATGAAAGAGCTGCAACAACAGCATGAATGAACACTAACGTTTGTCACTTCTATGACTGGAATATAAAGGTTCTTATATGAGTACCAGTGCAAGATCATCCATTCTTGATGAGCTTTGATGATTCTTCTTTATCGAGTCGCAGACGAGATAAAGAAACATTATCAAAGCGCCTCAAGAATGGACGATTTTGCAAAGGTACGAGTACAATAAAGTTTTTTTCATCTTACACGTGTGACTTCTTAGGATGAAAAATGGCAATATCTTGCATGGGGTAAAGCTGTATCTTGGCTAGTCAGGAGAAAACGTAATCTAATATACCGTTACAGGGTGGTCAAAAAACGGAAACCATGCGTCTTCCTCATATCTTTGTCATTATAGAAAATTACTACCTGATATTTTACACCTTTGTACAACATTCCATTTCCAACTAGCCTAGCATATTACATGACTATCAGCCTAATAGTTACAATATAACAGAACTTTGAACATGCTGCATGCAAACCTGCACACGTGGTCAATGACCCGACTTTATTCCTTAGAGCCTATGGCCTGAATGACACAGATAGTCTCCCTTTTAAGGTCTGCAATTGTTCCGATGAGGCCATTCTTGTACACTTTGTCTTCGGTATATCCCTACAGGTAAAAGGAAAGTAACCCGAGATAAGGACATTTTGAATTACTTGAGCATGTTTGCCTACAGCGCAATGGTGAGATATGATGAAAATAGTGGCAGGGCTTCCAATTTTTTTACCACCCTGTACCTGCAATACGCTATACATCAGAACCTTCTTTTAGCGTGGTACATAGCCTACCATACTTGACTTCATGGTGTATTCGGTTGAAAACGAGACTGTAAGTGGATATTGCAGATGACCGGGAATAACCATAGATCATGTGCTCGGTTTCAATGAGAAACATTTCACTCATGTCACAAATATTGTAAGATTATTCAATACATAAATTATGATGCAAATCGTCAAATTTTTAAAGGCCTAGCTATTCATTTCGGCCATTTTTCATTTCTTATGTCAAAGTTTTAAAAAAGGTTAATTGAAGATGTATGGGGTTGATGAAACTTCAAAGCAATACTGATGCAAGTTGTTTTTCATATAAGCGTTTGTAAGTTTTTATGTCTACAATTAGACAATAGTCCTCAATCCTAAAGATGGGCATATGCGATTTTGATCCACAATTATGAATTGCAACATTTTGGAGATATTAGTATAAATATCTGTATGATGAATATCAAACTCCTAATAATAATAATAAAGAACCAATTGCAAATATGTATATCTCATATCTAGTTTATTTTTGACATTTAGTTTTACAACAAATGGGAAATACAAAATGCTATACTTGTATTTGTATACAGAGCCTATTTCAAGACTAATACATTGTACAATAAACATATGCATCATTATAATTTACATACAAGAAGTCATCATCTGGCAATTGTCAAAATGACAAAATGTCAGCACTTGGTTTCAATTTTAAAAAAAATGGATCCAAAAACTTCAACCAAGGTGAAATATCTAATCTAAGTAAAAAACTTCTGAGAAAAAATTTGGTGAATTTGAATCAAGGACTTATTTGAGCTTGAGGTCATTGAATATCAAATCTCCCATCTAAGGTCAGATCTGAACTTCTTAGAACACCTTAATAATTTTGAAGAACAATACAACTTGAACAATAATTAACAAGGCATTTTCATACAAAAAGTCATCATCTGGTAATTGCTACGAAGTTGTAACAAGGCATTAACATGACAAAATGTCAGTACCTGGTTTCAATTTAAAAAATCATTTTCAGAAAAAAGTCTGGTAATTGTTAGAAAGTTGTAAAAATGCTATTCTTACATTTGTAGGCTGATTTCACCATCAATATATTATACAATATTTACAATACTAATAAACTTACAGTAATATACAAGGCATTTACAAGCAAAAAGTCACTGGCTGAAGTTCTTAAGTTGTTCAAATGCTATTCTTGTATTTCCATGCTTATTTCACCACCATTGTATTTTGCAATGAACTTATATTATACAAGGCATTTATATGCAAAAAGTTAGAATCTGGCAGTTATTGTAGTCAGTCTATTATAACCAAATTATTGTGCTTTAGGCAATAATTTGCGTGTTTGAGGGTCATTGATGTCTCGTCACCATTATCCAAGGATACTGTTATGCACTTCTTTTTCCGTGTGGTTATTGTGCCTGGAAATAGAAACATAATACGAATAAAGCCACTGCTACTATATCATATCTCATCATACAT